TCTGTTATGTGCCATGCGGGATACACGCTTAGGCGATCATGTATCTTTTGATGTAAGACTGACGAGGCCGATTTTTCCCGCAGTAGTTTGCCATTTCTGTCTACGGTAGACCAGTTGCCATCCAAGGCTATAGAACCCGGTCTGTCTTGCTATTTACCCATAGCTTAGAACACGAGGATCCATACCTTCCCCAAGGGTATTAGTGTTACAGTTTTTTGTGTATATACTATGTAACTAGTGAGCCAATCAAAATACCCTGACTCACTTTATAGTCCACCAATAGAAGGTTAACCAATCAGAAGCCGCAGAACATTGTATTTGTCGTGTATAAAGGCGGCCATCTTTGTTTACCCTACCGGAATGACCAGTGCCAACTTGTCAGGCGAACATGACAGAAGGAATTACTACGCTCTGCTACTTTGCTGCGATATCCACTGCTAACCTGAACTACGCTTTCCTACTGTCTTCGAAATATTCACTGCTAACCTCTGGATTCTATACTCGAAGACGACCGTCATGAATTTGTAACAATTAGTACGTAAGTGAATGTAATGGATTCGATTGGAATTCGAACTCGGCTCTCCGATTCCTCAATCCGAGCCGCTCTTAACGTTAAGATGTTAAGACACATTGTTAATACTTTGTGCTGTTTCCCGTAGCTTGAATAATTGCCCCTGAAATGGGATGGAATGAGAACAAATCCTTCACCATATTCACATGTATTCGTTAGCATCTACTGGGGTTAGGCTCCCACAACTCAACATCACGCGGGCTCTTCTGCTGAATTCTACTCATTCGTTCTGTCAACATTTGATCTATGATTTAAGTCAGGACTCTAATCTGGAAAATCTTTCAATACAGTGACAGATTCATCAATCAATGTCTATTGTGTTTGTTATATAAATCCCCATAACGCTAAAAAAAAAATATCCCGCCTTCATACAAGTCTGCTTTGAAACCTTCAAAAGCTGTTAAAGCTAACATGAATTTTAACCAAATTTCTGGAACCATTCCTTTTTAAGCAAACCCAAAGCATCAGAATGTGACCCCGAAAGCACCACGATTTTATTTCCCTTTCCTGTCAGCCTTCTGACAAATTCACGTTTCATTATGTTTATTTATTGTTTGTTTATTTTGTTTTTTGTTCTTCTTTCTTTGGAAAAATGTCGAATGATTTTTCAGAATCATGATGAATAATCAGGCATCCCTGATTTGCCATTGTGCATACATCTCTTTGCCCCGTCTGGCAGCTGTGAAACTCAACCACGCAGGCATGAAAAAAGGGTGCTCGTGAAAAAGTGTCGTCACTGGAGTTGATTAAGTCGATCTGGGTTTCCCTCTGCCAATATATATATATATATATATATATATATATATATATATATATATGTGTGTGTGTGTGTGTGTGTGTGTGTGTGTGTGTGTAAATAAGTTTTTTTTATGGTACAAAATTTAACAATGGCTAGGAAAAATCAAAATTTATATGGCATTTTTTAAAAAGTTTAAAAAGAACAACCGGTTTCGTCCCAGCCTTATCAAGTTTAGTTCTGCCAGATAAAAAATATATAAGCGTGTAAATTTAATTAATATAACGAATGGAAGGGAAAAGAAATGAAATATATATATATATATATATATATATATATATATATATATACAGAGAGAGGGGAGAGAGGGAGAGAGGGGGGGAAAGAGAGAGAATTGCTACTGTTAAAGCTATCATGAATTTTAACCAATTTTCTGGAACCATACTAGTTAGGTTTTAGATAATCAGCGTTGACCAGCTTTTCCTTCAAGGTTCTTGTAGATTATGGTTTAATAAATCCAAATACCCTAAATAATATTAAACACTCAATATATGCAAGACAGATGGAGGCAAAGCAACATTAATGATGCAAAAAATTTAAAAAATTAAGAATAGTGTTAACACACAAAAGGGGATACAAACAAGCGATCGCAGCATGCTGACTCCAAAACAAAAAAGAACGGAACTATGGCGGATGAGACCCTGAAGTGGCCTATCTTATTGGCGAGGAAGAAATCCCAGTATCTTTGTTTTGTCAATAGATTTGGGGACGTTTAACCTGAACAATTCCCGTAAGCCACTCAAAGCAGTGGGTTTACAAGGTAAGATGCTCAGTTTATGCGGGTTTGTGAGGAAGATAATGGTTAACCCGAGACTTGAACAGGTTAAGGTTGTAGTGATTGAAGAAACGTCCTCTTGGGATTCGGTTCAACAGATCAACGGTTCGTGGAAAGAATCTGCTCAGATCTCACCAATGGAATACGAAGACTCAAAGCACCAGAGGGATTCATTACCCCGAAAACGTCACTGTTATATGCAGACCCAAAGCAGCAGATTGGTACCACGAAAACGTCACTGTTTTCTTTGTGTGACGAGGTTTATTTCGCTTTCCTGTTAGACTTCTGGCAAATTCACACTTATTTGAATGCAACTGAACTTCAGATTAGAGTCCTGACTTAAATTCTTGGCATTCTTTGTACGTGATAAAAGTAAATGCAGATATTTTGCATAAGATTCCATTCAGTGTCATCACTGAATGGAATCTTATGCAAAATATCTACATCGAAAAGTTCTTTGACCAATTTAACGTTGCCTTCAAATGCCTTTTTTAAAGCTTGTTTCTTTTTTTGTAACGAATCTTTTCAGTCCATGACCTTGAAGCATACGCTTAGTTTTTTTTTTTTCTCTACTGAAGCCAAATTGAAAAAGTCCCACTCATCCAACACTTGTCTCTCAGACTACTTTCACTGAGATTTTCGAAGACCTGATCATTCTGTACATTATCCGATGCCTCTTCGTTCGAAGACGACCATAATTTGGTCGATTCCAAAAACTTCCAGGGCTTTGAGATTTCGATAGACCTTTTTGAAATGCCGCATCTTGACATGTCATGTCTCTAAGCGATTGTTTGCTGGTTCATATTCTTGAACATTTTCAAAATCTTTCGCCTTTTTTCTTTGGAGATTTTCGCCATATTCATGAAATGTCTTTGAGATTCTTTTTCTTTTTGTTTACATCAACTTTATTATTAAATATCCGATACTGTGATAACAGAAGCTCTGCCAAGACAGGTGAAAAATCGTAAAAGCTTAGATGCAAAATACTGTGGATGAACTAGTTATTAAAGCATTTTCTAAAGATGTTAGTCTTAGTGTATTATATTCTGTTTTAAGTAGAGTAGCATTTTTATGTCAAAATGAATACTAATGACATTTGTCTGTTTTTTTTGTTTGTTTTTTAGTGTCTCTTTTGTGTTCATATAATCGTTTATTTCAACTTCTTGAGGTTTCTCTAATAGATTCTTTATGGCATTCTTTGTATGTGATAAAAGTGAATTCATCTTTCTAGTTTTATGAAAAACTTGGTAATCTGTATGAGTAATCCCAAGGAGGGTGAAATCCTGAGAGCTCAATGTAAATCCAGAGCTAATATTTTAAAGAAAAACAGACCACTTTAAGGTACCATTATAATAATTTATTTCACCAGAGCCCTTTTAAAGGACGCCGTATCATCAGATAGCACTGCCAAAAATGAAATGAAATTAAAATTGATGAGTAGTGTAAGTTTTTGTAATTTAACAGAGAGTGTAAAAGGGGTAGTTAAAGAGACATGGTAGTGTTTAGGGAGAGATTAATTTCATATCTCTCTCAAGAATGCTTAGTATTGGGGGAGGAGGAGTGACCACACCTTGACCTACTTTAAGTGAATGTAATGGATTCGACTGGAGTTCGAACTTGTCTCTCCAATTCCTCAATTCATGCAGCTATCCATTACTCCACCATGCCTCCTATCTATATCTATATATCTGCATATATATATATATATATATATATATATATATATATATATATATATATATATATATATATATATATATATATATATATATATATATATGTATGTATACGGGTGGTGTTATGTCTATACATACGCATTTGTATGTTGAAATGTTGAAATTTAAACATTGGAAGTGTGGCGGAAATGTCTCGTTAATGTCTCGTGAATGTATACATGTCATATTATGTATTTTTCCGCTGAAAATTTATATTTATATTTATTTATATTTATATACACTTTTCACATATATATATATATATATATATATATATATATATATATATATTACAGGTAATAAATCCATTGGTATGTAATCGAAGTGGATCCTTGTAATATCAAATATTAAAAGTGATCCACAAAAAGAGCTCAATGTATTTATTATAACAGAACATATAAATTACACAAGAAAATCCAAATTTACCTCGTATGTGTGTGGGGGGGTAGATTTGTATGAGGTAATTTGGGATACGCTGCATTGTGCGTGATATGGCGAGTCTTAGACATGAAGTTAGACCTGGAGGAACTAAATAATGTAGCTCATCTGAACATTTTCCATGGTAATAGCGATAGAACAGTGAGAGTTTCGCGATGTTTCGGGGTTGTAGAGCGAAAACGAACTGGTCACCCAGAAGGACGTGGAGTCTGTCGAGACGGGAGCGTGATGACTGGGCATCTCCTGTCCACATATGGCAGCAATTCTCCTTTTCGAGCTGACCTGGCTCTTGTAAACGAAGAAGATAGCACGAGGAGTAAGGTACTTACTGGAATGGTACAGTGAACCGTCCATTTTCCTACATCTTTAGCCTTGGATCGTATGTACGATTCCCAATTAAGTTTTGGATTGAGTCACAATAGGCGCTGATGACACTACGCGTCCCCGAGGGAACATTCGTTCATTGCGGTTGGTGAGAATTCAAGGTTTTAAGTAATGTAGATTATATACGTTAATGTGCATGTCTGTCAGTATCATCCTCTGATTAAGGGAAAGTTTATTTGGGCGTTTCATTATATTTATTTATTGTTTGTTTGTTTATTCTATTTATTGTTCTTCTTTTTTTTTCTTTTTTTGAAAAATGTCGAATGATTTTACAGAATCACGATGAATAATCAGGCATCCCTGATTTGCCATTGTGCGTACATCTCTTTGCCACGTCTTGCAGCTGTGAGACTCAACCACGCAGGCATGAAAAAAGAGGGTGCTCGTGAAAAGATGTCGTCACTGGAGGCGATTAAGACGAGCTCGGTTTTCCTCTGACAACCAAACCTACGAGCCAAGTCGTGTGTTTGTGGAATGTCTACGCCGACAGCTAGGAAAATGTTATCGCGTACCGGCGCACAAACGCGCACACACACACAAACACACACACACACACATATATATATATATATATATATGTGCATTCTTCCGTCATCTTCCAAAATGAGTCTCAAACAGTTCAGTTCCAAGGAACCGACAGCCAGACACCAACACATATGATTTCATTATAGTGATGAAGGCTTTGTGCAGAGCCAACCAGACTTTTTGAAGGGCCGAATACAGAGATCTGGTGCTCTATGTGCCACAAGGTCCCCAACGACCTTCCGCGGGTTTTGAATTGAGAGTTGTCCTTCTCCTAGACCAGTTGCCATCCAAGGCTATAGAACCCAGTCTATCCTGCTATTTACCCATAGCTGGAGAGAGAAGAAGAGGATTAATACCTTTCTCAAGGGTATTAGCACGTAAGTGAATGTAATTATATATATATATATATATATATATATATATATATATATATATATATATATCAAATATGTGGTGCAGTTCAATTTATTAACAATAACAAATTTTAAAAAAAGAAACATATTTCGATTTACATTATATTTTTTCATCTCGGATGCTACCTGAATTTTACCAAAAACAAAATAATTTCCATGCCTGAGGATGACTGAAGGTAGAGTCGAAAGTACTTGCGTATTAAAGAAAGACATTATACACAGGTAAAACAAGGATCATAACATTCATCGAGTGATTTGTAGGTTAATGCACCTTTAAAATTTTGTTAGCGAAGGGATTTCGCCATTTTATATCATTAACTTTACTAATCTACTTTTTGTGTAAATGATTCATTGTAATATATATATATATATATATATATATATATATATATATATATATATATATATCCGATGCCATTACGAAAGTAATATATAAATTCCAACGTTCCCAGCATTAATCCAAAACCGATAACGATAATTATTTATTTATTATCATTTTATCATATAGAGAAAACCATTTTACTCACTACAAAGATGCAACTTTGTTTCAGTGTTTTTCAACTGTTCTTCGACGGGTGAGAATCGAAAATGGTTATAAAAATTCCTGCTTGTAGGCAAGCCGTATTTGAAACGTCACTTCCTTTTTTTTCCATTTGTTTGAGAAGAAAAATATACATAAAAAAATGGTGACGGAGTGAAACAATAGTGCTTGTTGATAGCAGTTTGGGGAAGAATGGATTGGGTGTTTAATGTTGACTGGTCTGTGGAAAGTTAAGGCACATCATCTCACAAGCGTCCTAAGAATGGGGAGGAAAGATGGAGATAGGGGATAGTATTACGTTTGAGTAGGTAAAAATTGTAGCGGTACTTCTAGTAGTAATTGGGGATGTTATTTTTGGTTTACTATAAAAATACTAAAGCTGAATTGTATGTATTTATGTTGGGGTTATCAGTACTAATTCTGTAATCAATGAATGTGTTTTGTGGATTAAAATTTACAAGTGGTGATTTCCTCTAAAAAAAAAATGAGGTATGTTAATATAACCTTTCATAATCAAATTTTGAAATATTTGCTGTGGTAGGATCCACCTAATTTATATAGTGGAGTACTGACCATATAAATATGGTTGGTACCGGGAAGACGAGGGAAGGAATCAAGAGATTCAATCCAGAGACTCTGCCCGACTGCGACTAAGTCAACACATTCTCCAGGAACGGTCTATATATAAGAATATACAAAAGACTGTATGTAAATATTGTGTACACTTTCTTGTTTCAATACATTTTGTTCTAAGTACATTTTGTGTTGTATTATTATTCCATGCATTAGTCAAGTCTCAACAGTATTCCTGGACCGTATAGCGTGTATAATAAGTATGGTTGTAAAACGATTTATCTGAAAATATTATCAGTAATATATATGGAAAAAAAAACATTTAAGAAACATATTTTAATTAGTGGGAAGGTACATAAGAGGTTAGGGAATATATCGAAGGAGGTGATTTATAATTTTAAAACGTTTATAATTATGGAATTAAGAATTTAACAAGATTGTAGTGTTAGATCTTTAATATGTCTACAGAAAACAGTTGTTTCATATCTTTGATTTAATAATTGGGTGTAATTCAAGAGTTCAATGATACATATTTTCTCCTGTAAACATAAGAAGCAAGGTTCGCTCAGAGAATTGCAGGTTCTGGCTTGTCTTAGGATTTTCCATTTAACCTTAGATGTTTTTCCTTGAGTTTCCAAAAATATTTCGAAAATGATGTCATATTTCGTTTGGCCGTATTTGTAAAGGAGTTCATGTGATTGCAATACTTATCCTTAAAAGGTCTACTAGTTGACCCCCACATACAACCTGCAATTCTCTGAGTGAAGTTTGTTTCTTATGTTTTCCCAGGTCCACCCTGATCCGGGGTGGTAGCACCTGTTAGGGTCCCAGCTATGGGCGAATAGTTACCCACAAACTGGGGTTAAAACACTATGAAAGTGTAAAAATAAGTCTTCTTAAATATTACCAGCAATACATTATTTTCAGCAATACATTTT